ATCTATCTATCTATCTATCTATCTATCTATCTATCTATCTATCTATCACAATTTATTCACTTTGTATTCCAGCTGTAGCCCCCTCCCTCATTAAGTATTGCATTAAAAACTTGTTGGGTTTTTTTGGTGTTTCAGTTCCTTAAAGGTCACAATAAAATTTGAAACTGTTATCTTTGTGGACATTTAGTGAACACTGGTGCCCAGTGCATGTACTGGGCTTTCACTCTCTAAGTGTAGCCTGGAGTATGCTTATGTTGTGAATGGAGGTAGACTATTTGAAAACATTATTTTCAATAATCATAAAACACAGAGGTATAAAACAACAGCAGTGAAACTACTGTAGACATTTTCTAGATGTGACAGCCTACATGAGAGAACTGAGCTGCTCGAGTCACTGTTGACTTATGGTAGGTCTTTTCATTCTTTTATATTACAGTTGGAGATTCAATTAAACAAGTTTTTTTGCATAATTCATACATTGCCTGTGCCATGCTTTGTTTTGTTTTGAGACAGAGTCTCACTGTATATGCAGGCTGACCTACAGTTCCATGTTGCCCAAGCTGGCCTCAAACCCAGAATTCTGCTCTAACCTCTTGAGTGTTGGGGTAACAAGTATGTGCTGTAATATTCAGCAAACTGATTTATAAAACACCTGCTGTGCCCACAGCAGATAATGTGTGGAGGTTTAACTCTAAGTATTCTGATTCTACAGCCATGCTTCTCAACCTCTCGGTCATAATCCCTTTGGTGGTCGAATGACCCTTTCATAAGGGTTTTCTATTAGAAAAACAGATATTTATGATTCAAAACAGTAGCAAAATTACAGTTGTGAAATAGCAAAATAAAAAAAAATTTACGGTTGAGGGTCACCACAACATGAGGAATTGTATTAAAGAGTCACAGCATTAGTAAGGTTAAGAAGCACTGATCTACACAGTCCTCCTGTGTGAGGCTTTTCAAAAAGCTTCTGGTCAGTTCGTTTATGATCTGGGATGAATACGCTGGGTAGAGTATGGGGGAGTTGAGTAAGCAAAGTTGCAAGACTGTTGACTATATTTGTTTTATCATGCGCTTGCTAATCTTTTGTGGTGCTTGTGTTAAGTTTTATATTTATCTGTGTGATATAATTGAAAACCAAATAGTGCCACCAAATACTAGGTTGTTTATTTCACTGGCACTGGCAATTAATCTTTAAAATGTAGGCCTGGTGTGGATCCAGTAACTGGCCTCTGGATTTATTGATTGTAACCATTGGTAGTTTTGCAACCATAGATCTTTAGTGCAAATAGTATATTGCACAAAGATCCTTGGATGATAAACAGTTAAAACAAAGTTTCACTCCTCAGTCAGGCTGTGTCTGCTTAGAGAAATGTTCAGACTTACCTAAATCTCCACCCAGAAGATAAACCTCCTGATGGATTATGCAAGGGTAGGTTCAGGGTTAGGGAATCCCTGAGTAGTTTCAATTTCCAATTGATACAATACAACATTTTTATTCAATGAAAGGTGATCTTCTGCTTACAGTAATTTTTGAAATAGATAAGGATTTAATAATTTTTTTTAGTAACTAAATTTTATATACCAACCATTTGAAATCAACTGCTGCTTCCTCTTGACTTTATAGGTTACTTTTATAGAAGATACTAGTAATGGAAAAGCTGATTATGCAAGGAAATACCAAGTGTTTTGATATTTAATTTTTATATTTGATATTTAAAATTCAATTTTGATGGAGTGATTTTTTTTTTTTTTGCCAGAAAATCTTTGAAATAAGATTGTTCTTAAAATATGTACACTTGTCAGGGTGGTGGTGGCATACTTCTTTAATCCTAGTACTTGGGAGGCAGAGGCAAGTAGGTCTCTGTAAGTTAGAGGCCAGCCTGGTCTATAGAGTGAGTTCCAGGACACTAGAGCTACAAAAAGAAACCCTGTCTCAAAAGACAAAGAAACAAACACAACAATGTATACTTAATCTTGCCAGGGATTGAATTGTAGTGTGAACATGGGTTATAGAGTCTGTGAACTGGTTTCAGACCCTCAGTGCTACCTTTTATTAACTATTAATTAGGATAAATTAAGAGTCGTGTTCTTTTTAAAGCTTGTTTGTCATGTACACATACTAGACTGTTGCACTGGAGTGTGTGCGGTGTAAAGCACGTGCTAGGCAATCATTAGATACCACTTCTCCACCTTTTGTCTCTGTCTCAGCATTTTTTAAGACTAGACTGTAAAAACCCTAATTAGAAAGTGGTAGTTACTTGTTTAACTCTGTCATTATTTTTTGAACGTTAACCCCAACCAAACTCTTTTGATTTTTTACAATTGTTAAAAAATTACAAATTATAATTCTAGGTTTTTATGTCTTACAAGGCTAATGGTGGTGTTTTATTTATATTACATAATATTATCTAATAATATATTTCTCAGAATATTGAACTTTTTTAGTGTCTAGAGTTAGATATTTAAGCAGTATATGATATAGTTACTTTTTCTTTTTACTTTTTAAATTGAAAATAATTCTTTTTTCCTAAAGTATATTCTGATCACTGTTATTCCTCCTCCATCTGCTTTCAGATCATTCCCACCTCCCCATCCACCCAATTCCTAGCACTCTATGGAAAACAGGCCAAAGTAAATAAATGAGGAAATAGAAAAGAAAAAAACACAAGAAACACACACACAAACAAGATACATAGTTGGAAACCATAATACAGAAGCAAAATACCAGTAAGATTAAAAAAGAAAAAATATCCAAACAAAGCAATCTGAGACAAAATCAATCTACAGAAATACCATTGAGTTCGTTTTGAGTAGGTTATCTGCTGCTGGGCCTGGGGCCTGAGCATAGTTATGTATGGTTTGTATGCCCAGTCAGCCTCCACTGGAGAACATTGATTTGAGCTTTGCAGGTGGTTGCCAGTTAGAGCTGGCTGGCTTCAGCTTACGGCTCCCCTCTCAGCACTGGCACCCCATCTGTCTTGGACCTGTACAAGCCCTGGGCATGCCACAGGGCTCTGGGAGTTCATGGGTGTGTCAGTACTGTTGTGTCTACAAGACATTGTTTCCTTGCTCTCCTCTATCCCTTTGGCTCTTAGAATCTTCCTGCCTCCTCATATATACATTGTTCCTGGAACCCTGAGGAGTGGAGTTTGGAAGTGGAAGACCTCTCATTTAGAACTGAGTGTTCCGAAGTGTCTCTGTGTACACATTGTTCAGCTGTGGGTCTCAGTGTTAGTTCCATCTACTGCAAGAGGAAGTCTGTGGTGATAGCTGAGAGACACACATATAAGGGTATAGCAGAGTGTTGTTAGCAATCATTTTCTTGTACATTCCTTCAGCAGAACAATAGTATTTGTTTTCCCCTTTTAGTTATAATTTTTTTAATAGCTTAAGTTTTGTTGTGATTGGCCCATTTATCTTGGAGATGAGTAAAATCAAAGTAAATTCTGATATATGGAATTTTGATTTCTTGTCACTGGGTTGAGAAGGAATGAGATGGACATGGTAAAGAACACGCTTCTGGGTATGGGCAGAAGCCTTAGCTGGTGAGTGCTGCACAGACATGATGTCTAGTGAAAAGCCAGGCAGTGTGCATCTGCTGCCCCAGCACTGGAGTAGGACAGACGTGCAGATGCCAGAAGCTCATTGGTTAGCCAGCCGAAACAGTAAGCTCCAAATCTGCTCGTAGGCCTTGTCTCAAAAATTAAGGTGGAGAACAATTGAGGAAGACTGAAGATGCTACATACAAGGACAAACAAATACAGTGATCCTACATGTGAATCATGATAGATAATTCACTCTCTCTCTCTCTCTCTCTCTCTCTCTCTCTCTCTCTCCTCATTGCTTACTTATTTGGAGACTTGCTTGGACACAATCTTTAAATTAGTGAAAATTGAATTAACCAAAAGGAAACCCCGGATTAATGTGGATGAAGAAACACGTGTATACTGTTACAGAGTTTAAAATTTTTCTTCTGGAAAAGCAAATTGCCTCCTAAATATTATAAAATCAAACAATAAGATACGTGCAATTAGTTTGTAACAGGCTGTGCTGAGCTCAGACTGTTTTGCTGTGGCCTCTGTGCAAGGCTGTGGAAAGTCTTACTTGTGAAGTACCTTCAAGTGCTTTGAAGAGTCTGTCACTACTCCTTTAAACTTTATCCTTAAACTGGCATCCAGAAAACTGCTTTAATTTACTCTTCATTTATAATACGGCCCCTTTCAATTTTATTTAAACATTTATTACGTTTTATTTATTTTGTGTTATAGGGAGGGAACTTGCAGGAGTCAGGTTTATCCTTCTACTATGTCGGTCCAAGAGATTGAACTCAGATCTCAGGCTTGCTAGCAAGGGCCTTTACCAACTAAGCCTTCTTGCTGGCCTCAAAATGTCCTTTAACATGATAGCAGAAAAGGTGGGCATGGTGGACACACAGACCCTTAATCTCAGGACTCCAAGGCAGAGTTGGGCAGATCTCCATATGATCAAGGACAGCCTAGAGTACGTAGCAAGTTTTAAGCCAGACAGAGCTACCTAGTGAGACTTTGACAAATAATAAATAACTAAGATGTAAGTATCATGCATAAAATACATCAACAGTTTCAAACATTAGTATTTGGTTAAATGAAAGGTTGATTCATCATTTTAAAAATTGTTTTGTAGGCATTAATTCATGGATTAAACAGACATTATTACTCCATCACTATTAATTATCGGAAAAATGAACTGGAACAGAAGGTAAGTCTATGAAAAATCTCCTATTCCATGCTTGAATGTTTTGCTGCTATGTGCTGCCTGCATGCCTGGTGCCCTCGGGTCAGAAGAGGCTGTTGGCTCCCCTGGAACTGAGTCACACTGGTTCTAGTGGCACAGCAGCATCAAGCAGTCTGCTCCTGTGTGTGGGGGGGGGGGGTGTTCTTTTTCACATTTCATAATGTAGTATCAAAAAAAAAAATAACTTTCCATAGTGATGCTTAATTGGAGGCAAATTCTAGATTATGACTTTTAAGAAAAATTACCGTTAAATTGTGTTGAACTTGTGGCTGGACAGATGACTCATTGGTGCTGCTGTTAGAGGACCTGAGTCTGATTCTCAGCAGCCACACCAGGCCACTCACAACTGCTTCTAACTCTAGTTTCAGGGGATCTGGTGCCCTCTTCTGGCCTCTCCAGGCACATGCACATACTTACACATAAATAATTTTTACAAATTAAGTCTTATGAAAACTTATCCTGGGACAGTCAGAGAAATACAAAACAACAACAAAGGACAACCTCAGGCAAGTGAGATGGCTCAGCAGGTATAGACACTTCTTTCCCTCGGGCGAGTGAGCAGGTATAGGTACTTCTTTCCAAGCATGAGAGCATAACCAGTGTTCACTGTCTGGACCCATGTGGTAGAAGGATAGATAGGACCGACTTCCTCGAGTTTTCCTCTGACCTTCTCATGCAGGCTGTGGCATGTGTGCCCACCCCCCAAAGTAAACAAATGTAGTAAGGGAAAGTTGTAGATTTGTAAGGCAGGTGAGGGGTCCTAGCCTTTTGGGAGGCTGAGTCAAATGAGGAAGCTTGTAAGTTTGAGGCCAGACTAGGCTACATAGTTAACCCTCACCCCACCCCCTAAAAAAAGGTACACATATTGGCATGGGCACAAAACCCTTCTTTAAGTTGTTTAATGTGTAAAGATATATTTTTTTAATTTGAATCCAGTTTGGGGGACAGTGTACTAAGTTGTTTAGATTCTTAATTGGTTGGTGTTTGAAAACTGGACACGTGTGTGATTTTTTTTTTTTTTTTAACTGCTGTGGTTAGATATTTTAGAATCTAGCTAGACCCTATTGATCTTAAATATAACTGGATAAAGTGAAGAAAAAAATTGTTCATAGAGACTATAAAAGTAGCATAGTATGACAAGGGAAGAAAGATCTTTGCTAAATCAATGAGAGATGGTCATTTTTAAAAAGTCAGAGTAGTTAGGAAAGGCATCTATCTCTAATACAGGGTGAATGAGTGTAAGTCATGCAAAGATTAGAATAACTGAGGTGGGTACCAGAGGCAATGGGCATGGATTTGGAGTGCCAGGGTATATTAATATAAATTTAGGATATTTTCTGTTGATACTTACTCGAATGAATAAAATTATGTTTAAATTCATTAATTTTTCTCCCTTAAGACAAGGCAGCAAAGTCAGTTCTTTTTTGCTGTAATTGTAGATGCTGTTAAATCTGCATAAGAAGAGTTGGATGGAAGGATTGACGCTTCAGGACTACAGTGAGCACTGTAAACACAACGAATCGGTGGTGAAAGAGATGCTGGAGTTGGCCAAGAATTATAATAAGGTCAGAGCCCCCTTTTTCTTCATAACTGTTGAAAATATGTGTAATTAGGTAACCAGTGGTTATAGGAAATAAAAAATTAAAACTAGGGCAGTATGCTTTGTAGATTAGATAATAAATACTTGATGTTTAGATAATCTGGTCTCTTCCTAAAACCTACCACTGTTATGCTTATGCAACCAAAGAAAAGATATACACAAAGGCAACTCGACTTTTTTTCAAATAGACAGCTGGAGAGCCAGAGAGATGTCTTGGTAGTTAGATCACTTGCTCCTCTTAGAGAGAACCGGAATGGTTCCCAGCACCCATGTAAGGTAGCTGACAACTCCCTGTAACTCCAGCTACCATGGCATATACATGCAAATACACATGCATATAAATAAAAAATTAAAAAGTAATTCTTAAAGTAGGCATGGTGGCACATTTAATCTGAGCACATAGGAGGCAAAGGCAGGCAGATCTCTGAGTTTGAGGTCAGCCAGGGTTACATAGTGAGACCCTGTTGCAAAAAATTTAAAGGACAAACCAGTTTAAAAGGGGATGGGTAGCTGGCCAGATTTGGCCCATAGACTGTAAGTTTGTCAAACCTTTTTGTTGACGTAAAATATAGTTCATTATTTAGGGAATTTTTCTTGGAAGGTAACATGATTAAAGGAATGTAGACTGAAAAACTGTCATTTGAGTTTTGCTGCATATAATTTATTTAATGAACTTTAAAATTTTTCATTTAATCAGTACTTACTGAAAACCCACTCTGTCCCAGGCACTGGACATGCTAAAATGTACATAAAAACGTTCTATTGTCCAGAGAGCTTACTCTCTGTAAAAGAACGGAAAGAGAACATCATAGTGCAGTGTAGTTAGTGCTGTGAGAAAAGAGCAGTGACTAGGGAGAAACTTATTTTTGTATGGGGCCATTAAAATTTGTTATCAAAAAATCATACGCACAATCTCCCGAACATATTTATATGCTAAAATATATGCGGCATTGGGCTGGGGAAGTGGCTCACTCAGCCTGGAAAGGCCTGAGTTGCATACCAACCCACGTGAAAAAGCTTGGTGTGATGCCACTGCTGCAGAGGTAGAGACAGGCTTGCTGAGAGCAGTCACGAGTACCAAGACACAGGTCAGCTAGTGTCCAGCAAGAGGTGAGTGAGTGCACCTTCTCTCTCTGTCTGTCTCTGTCTTTGAGTGTGTGTTCCCAATGCAGCACTGTTCATCTTTAACAGAAAGAATTCCTGCCAATGCAACACTGAACCTGAAAGAAATGGTTAAGTGGAATAAACTAGTCATATAAAGACAAATCCTCATAATGTCTGTGAAGTCTAAAAAGCCCAAATTCAGGAGTAGAAAGTATAAAATCATGGCTTTCAGAGTCTTGAGGCTGGGGTCGGGGGGGTGGGCATGCTGTGTGTTTAGGAAATGGTATGTGTACTAGAGTGTATATGAAGAGGACTAGGAGAGGGTTACAGAGGTAGTTTTGATCCGAGGCATGTTATAATATACCTAGATCCTGACTTTAAAAACAGCAAGAGGAGATTGTTGTAGGAGCAGCCCTAAATGGCTGTGTCATGTGGTGACAATGGTTATGAGATATTCATAGTAAATGAAGCAATCATGATAGCATTGTGTGAAAAGAGAATTGAATATGGCCTTAACATTTCCTGCCTATGTGACTAGAAGTGTGTTGATAGCATTAACCTTTTCAATGCAGGTAGAAAAAGAAGGAAGGAAGGAAGGAGGGAGGGAGGGAGGGAGGGAGGGAGGAAGGAAGGAAGGAAGGAAGGAAGGAAGGAAGGAAGGAAGGAAGGGTTTTTGTGTTGCTTTTACCGATTGACGTTCAAAATACCAGGTCTCCTTGTATTTTCATACATACTTCAGTTTGGTTGATTCCTCGCACTCTTCTCTTCCCCATCCCTGCTTGTGCCCTACCCCCTCCCATGTTCCCTCTTTTCACTTCCATGTCACATGTGTCCTATTGTTTCTTCCTGCCCTACATGCTATTGTTTTCCCTCTCGGAGCTCCCTTTCTAACCACCTCTATGTCCAGACTGCTCTCACAAAGATATACATACATAAACACTTAAAGCTACAGCTTTTAAAGAGTTCGAAATATGGGATCGAGTATTATTAGTAAAGGCTGGACTAAAGATTTAGGGGTCAGAGTTAAGACTGATACTGTAACACCAGGAAGTAATATTTCTGTTTTTAAATTTGGTGCCGTATCATATAAAAACACTATACAAGAGAAAGTGTGTAAGATTTATCAAATGCTAACAGCAAGTCATTTGAAAGAACTGAGCTTTGAAATAAAAGTAACATGGTCTTTAAAACTAAATTCCAGCAGAGGTAGATCAGGTTTTGATGAGTATGTCCTAGAATATAATATCCTAGAGCACCCCTCTGCCCCAGTACTAGAGTGAAAGAATTTTTTCTTCTTCTAGTGTTGCTTTCAGCTTTCATGCTGTGGAGATTATTTAGAGAGAAAGAAGTAGTTTATCATTTAAAATAGTTAATCTTTTATTGCTTAAAATGGTAAGTTATTATTTAGCAGGCTGTAGAAATGGTTTTTATTTCTCTGTAACATTAAAGTGAATTCATATTTCCTTCTGCCAGGAAATAACCTATTTATGGTTACTGCTGCCCATCCATGGACATTTTTTCCTATAATACAGTTTAAAAAATCTCTGTAGTACTAAAAATCTTCTAAGGTTTGGTTAAAGAATGAAAACAGTATGTAAGCTGTGATATGAAGAGTCCAAATTTGGGAATGTAATTCCCTCTGTGATTGAAAGGTGTACAGTGAAGTTTTTATAGTAACACTTAAAATATACAAGAAAAGGCCCATACTGTCACAGTTCTTCTTGGCATTCTTTTTAATTGGCTAGTTTTTTAAACTAAGGTAATTATTGTTAGATGCCAGTCAGGTCCTAAAGTAAAAGGAGTTTGAGGATAATTAAATTCATGTTCCAAGTTTTCAATTTCAAGTCTGAATTCCACACAGGAGTTCTGCTTGATTATTACTCATTTGTTTTTTGTTGTTGCTGTTGTGTTGTTTTGTTTTTTAATTACTGAGATGTAACACCTGCAGCACTGTGTTTCAAACCCCATCTATGCAAGCCAAAATGCTGCTGCTAGATTTAAAACTGCTAATGTTTTATTACATATTTGTAAATGAATGTATAGGTGGCAAATGTATTGCAGAAGATAATTTGTAAGAAGAACACAGAAACAGAAATTTTGACTTTTAGAACATATAATTCTATAAACTCAGATCCGACAGATTGCTTTTCAGATGACATGTTGACCAACTTAGTAACCTGTAAGATGAGATATTTTTATATTATTTCATATAAACTGAAAATATATTTGGTTTTCTACATTAAGTAGAAAATTTTTGTGCTTATGTAATTAGATAAGAAAAAGAAAAGATAAATATTGAGGAAAATCCGCCAGATTATTCTTTGAATATAGTGTGATAGATTGTTGGCAATCAGACAGAAATTCAAGAGAATAAAGCGATAACTTTCAGAACTGTTATGTCAAGAATGATATAGGTGGTTAAAATGATTTTAAAACAAACAGGCAAAAAAAAGTTAGAAAAAATGGTACTAAACATGAACAAATTTCAGCCTTATTAAAGAAAAGAAACCTAACAAGTGGACATAATTTTCAATATTGAAAGTTTATGAAGCATATTACCAATGGGAGAGTAATGTGTAATATTTTACAGGTTGTTTTGTATGCATGAGTGTTTATGTATGTTTGTGTGTGTGTGTGCACCATGTGCATTATATATTTGTGTGTTTATCATGTGCACAACTATTGCCCAAGATGCCAAAAGAGTTAGAGTCCTAGAACTGCAGTTACTGCCGTTTGGGTGCTAGGAACTGAACTAGTTCTCTGGAAGAGCAATAAGGGCTTTTAGCAGCTGAGTCAATCTTTGCAGTCCCTTGAAAGTGATCTTTATTTTAAATTATGTCAGATGTCAACATTGTTTTACGAACATAATCCTCTTTAAGGTAGAAGATAGGTAATTCTACACTTTAAGGTCAGTTTGAAACTTCAGAGTCAGACTCTGACTCCATCTGTCTTTCTGTTCTACTTTCATTGTATTGACATCCATCTTTTAAGTCATCTTAAGATACACGACAGTTGCTAAACCTTAGCCATCTGATAATGTGTGTGTATGTAACTGGGGAAAAAAGGAAAATCAAAGAGATGAAAAAAAATCAAAACTGGAAAAAAATCAAAATCAAAGTCTCCTAAATTCTTTTTAGGAGTCTGATTATCTCTCATTGGCAGAGCATGGCCAAATGAGCATGACTGGCAGCAAAAAAGTTTTGTAGCTGGAAGCACTGATATCTTTAGGAAAATCAGTTATGTTATCAAAGAGAAAGATGGATATTGGCAACTAGCAGGTAATACTAGAAACTTGTGTGTTTCTGTCTCATCTCTCTCTGTCTCTCGCTCTGACAGAGTCTTTCTACATAGCCCTGGGTATCCTGGAACTCATTATGTGGACCAAGCTGGCCTTGAATTGTTGGAGATCCTCTTGCCTCTGCCTCTCTAGTCATGGGATTAAAGTCATGCATTACTTCACTGAGCTTACTGAGACCCTTTTTTTTTTTTTTAAGCTGAATTACAAGTTGCTGTTATTATCTACACATACAAGTGTTCATATGCTCACGTGAGCATATTTTGTATCCTTTATTTAATCTTATGCTTTGAAATTGGATTCCCTGTTAGGATTTTTGCAAAGCATCTCTGGGTTGTCTGGTGAATCATGGATTTGGCTTTCTCACTTATTCACGATGCATCATCTAAAAGTAATGCGTCTTTCTAGTTGCAAATGTTGCTATGAGGCTGAATGTGGTGGCACATGCTTTTAGTTCTAGCACTGTAGGAAGCAGAGGCAGGCAGATCTCTTGAGTTCAAGGACAGCCAGGGCTACACAAACAAACAACAAACAAACAACAAACAACAAACAAAAACAAACAAACA